TTATCATTCGTCCGTTACAATGACGCTGTGACCTTGACGTTGGATCCAAAGTGGGTCAGGGATAAACAATATCTGATAGCTGATTTTCACGTGAAGGAGCGTGCTGCGTCCGAAAATTTACCAAATCCCGAGGTGTGATGTAGTGCCTTCGAAAGGGTTTGTGTCCCGTGAGCAAGGGCACTGGTTTTATCCACATCCACGTGTTTCAGACAATATTCGTGAGTACATGACAGGACGTTTCTCACTTGTAAGGACTGTCCAAAACAAGCGTCCTTTTCCGTCAAGCAGGTCATAAAGGACACACATTGCACCATAAATTCGCATACGAAACACAGTAGTTTGCCAGTAACATTGGTCCTAATATAACAATGGAAAAGAATAGCAACTATGAAAGATTTCACGCATACCAGTGAGTAATTCCGGTTGCCAGTACATTCCGAACTCGACCTTCACCATCCCTCATCCCTGTCGCCAGTATGACATGTCTCAAAGCGCATCGAATCCGTTTGTCCCCTTAGGCCAAACCGATTTATTAAGAGAGTGTACAACACTATATATTAATACATGTCATGCATATATATTATGGCATATAATATATCTAATATAATATGTATAAGGCAAATCTTTTAGGATATATAATGCATGACATCCGTTCAACCTAGAGATTAATCAGTGAGTTTTGATCATTGTTTTGGAGCGTCTTCATTACGATGTTTATTTTTTGAAGGTAATTCGGTTTTTAGGGTCAAGAATTCATCTTTTTCATCGTTTCACTGTTGACACAAGAGCTTCGTCGGGTCACGTGAGTTGGTTACCTGGTTGATCAAGTTTTAAGGGGACCGATCGGTAAGACTAGCTGACTTGATAAGTGCTCGATGTCCGTTTGAAATTCTTGTTTGTTGGTTCGTGGGGATGACTCACACTCACGACAGATGGGCTAGAAGGGAGTATCATCAACTTGGAGCTTGCTTCTCCCCCTTTTAGGGCTCCTCTTGGGTTTCGTTCACGATTTTTTGGCTTTCGTGTGTTGGGAAATGCAAGAAAACTCGGGTTGCGGTTGGAGAGATGGAGTGAATTTTACTCAGTTTGGGTTTTGTGCCCCTTCTGACGGTTTGTTATCTTGATGGTGTAGGAAAGTAAATTGTTGTCACCAATATCATTGTCCTCGGATGGAATAAGTCTTGTAGGAGATTGATTCATATGGAGAAATACTATAGCACAGTTGTTTAGGTGTGTTAACCATGCATGCGACTTTCAGTACCTGTCGGAGGATTGGTGGAGAAACAACCTCCGTGAGGGTGGAGTTTGATAAAACAAAGAACTATCAGTACACACTGTGCTGTTTTAAAGTCTATCCGATTGGCATTCCCACACTTTTCCGACAAATCTACAGGAATAAATCAACAACCCATTGAGTTTTGTTCTGTAGCTTTCTGAAAGTTTCAAATTACAGAGACCGCATCATTTTGCAACAGAGGTAGCTGGATGAATTCTGGGTCTGCTGAAGAGACGGTATCTGATGGTAGTTGCCCTCTGATATGATTAAAACGGATCATTACATTATCTTGTTGGTAGTGTGAGGAGATTTGGGATTTTTGTGGAGATTTCGTCCTGTAAGTGAAGTCAATCTATGCTGAAAAGCCGAGAAACACTGTGCAGCTGTTTCATCCTTATTGGGAATCATCAGCAGTGCAGATCTCGCGAAACTCCGGAGAGTCTTGAACCCCAACCTCCTGGCTAGTAGTTTGAAATCTGTCGCTTTGCTTTGTTCGGTCACATTCAACACTAAAATTTGCCGTGAATAGTAGACAGAGATAGTAGCCACTCATGACCGAACGGCCACGGGAGGTCGCGGGTTCGAGACTCTCCGGAGTTTCCTGAGATACGCACTCCTGATGATTCCCAATAAGGATGAAACAGCTGTACAGTGCTTCTCGGCTTTTCAGCATAGATTGACTTCACTTACAGGACGAAATCTCCACAAAAATCCCAAATCTCCTCACACAGCTCGCAAGAGCGACGTGTCAGGATGAAACTGCTTCTCGGCTTTTCAGCACAGATTGGCTTTCATTTACAGGACAAAATCTCCACGACATTGTCGAGTTATCAAACTCGTAGCATTTTGCCTTTCTTGGTATGGTTTTGTGTACATATAGTTTTATAAATCAGACATTGTCGTTTTTATAGCATAGTTTGTCACTTAAAATGATCGGATTAAAACTATCAACTACACTTCCGAGAACCCATCGAGTCTACCCTTCTAAGAAGGATCCCGCTTGGAGAGAGTCCACTTTCCACGGAAGGTCCATAACCAACATCGTTCGTCGACAGTGACCTATTCGAGATATCGCAGTATATTTTCATGAAGGAAATTACTCACGAGGTTGCCGAAAACTCTTCGACAGCCCATAAACGGTTTCACCCTTCTTGGGGCTCATCAAGTATGCGAAGTCCCCGAGTTTCCATCGTCAACCTTGTGTTCTACTTGAACCCAAATTGAACTGACTTCGACAAGTACACTCTTCTTCAGGTCAATTTGGTTTTCACGGGAGACTCAAGTGAATCTCTCGTTGATTATATTCTTCAGCTGAATGTGCTGCACCAGGCCGCCTCACGTTTCAGGTTGTACAAGATTCGAGATATCGACCCAAGAAGGACAAAACCAATCGTGGATTGTCGAGGAGTTCTCAGCAATCTTGTGAGTAGTTTCCTTAATGAAAGACCTATAAAGCATAGACAGTTCACCAAATTTTCCGTTTCCCCGTTGATAAGGAAGAGCTCATATCCACGATTGCGAGTGTCTACTACTAAAGCTAATCTGCACTTTCCAGTCTGGAAAACGGCGAGCTAATGGTAGCAATAATTACACAGATTAAATCGGAATAGTCTGGTTTAACAGGCTTGCTTTATCCCGAATTCGTGTACGAGTGTAATGTTTTTCGTCGAGACTGACGATTTCACTACGAATGGCTCATTGTCACACTATGAGGGGCCACCAACACTCAACAGAGCCAGTCGGAGCGTCTGTGCCCCTTCGTCGATGGCTGGATGTGGGTTTATATATATTTCCCTCCAACTAAGGCTGACCTTTGATTGTGATTGGTCGTTCGGGCGGACTACCCTACTGGTTGGTCTCCTAGTCCATGTTTTAACTGGTCGACAGTGGATGACGCTTGAGACTTTGTCCTTCGTTTTTATTTGTGAGTGGTGGGCAGTGTCACTTGGCCCACCCGTCCGATGTGTAGGTCGCTGTATACGATATTTTATACATTGAAAACTTAGTTCTGTATACAAACTGGTTGAAGTAGTCAGTTGGAATTTCGTTAGCACGTTTCGAATTCGGTCAACGTGCGCCAGTATTATCAATTTACTTCGATTTACTCGAATGTCTATTCGTTACAACCAAACAGTAGGGGACCCAGCTGGTTGATAGCTGAAGATGATAATATCAAAGAAACATCGAGCACTACAGTTCGTAAATTTGTATCGGGAAAAAGGGTATTCCTGAACGTTTATCGGACGTTTGTTGAGGAGAAAATGCCCGATGAAGTCAACAAACCGTTTCTTTATCTATTGAAAAAAAACCTTTCCATATTCAAATTGGTCAGGCTTTTCTGAGTGTTGGTCAATCTGGAATCCATCCCCATCCCCACCCACCGGTCGCAATTATTCCACGCATATAACGATCCTCAATACAGAACAAGATGGAGATATGGGTATTGGGTGATCCTTGAAGTTGACTCCTCTCGAGAAGTCGAGATGGAGGATAATCTCAGACCTCTCCTAGGATGATTACCTGTCACAAGTGGGAGCACTGAACCGAAAAAGCCTAATGACACACTTGATGTAGGTTAACCACTGGCCTCCTGGATACACATGAGGCAGTGCAGGTGGAAGCCAGTCGGTCTATGATCAATACACTAGAAGGAATCAAAAGCCATCGACCAGAGGGGCGTGTAGAAGTGTGCGTTTTGTTGCACGCATTAGTATAGTTCTATCGCCGCGAGGTATTTCATGTACCCAACCAACACGAGCGCTCCGACAGGTTTGGAGCCCACCGACGGAGAGAAGGTCTTGACTGCACAGTCGATTGGGGCTGCGCAAGACTTTTTCTGCATTGGACTAACTCACCAGCCTGTTCTGAGGTAGCGTGAATCCACGTCAACAAATCAACGACACCTATGCGGAAGGTTGAGTTACTGGTGTTGAACGGAACGAAAAAAATCATCAGCTTAGTGGTCCACTCTTAAGCCTTGACTTGCGCAAATCACAGTGACTCCTACAGTTCAATTTGTTCTCACAGTTTGGAGAGCTAAGCTCTCTGATGATCACCGACAGGTGTTTGTTCATTTCTATCAATGTCTTGTACACACACAATCTGAGGGTGTGTCTAGCCAATATGTAGAGTC